GAGGGGTGCCCAATTTTTTTGGGGGAATTTCGGGACGCGTTCTCCAATGGGTAGTTCTCTAAGTTGGGGTCCCTTGTGACGTCCCCAAAATGCTACGGCACACCTATACATTATAAAAAGAACCCTAAAACGGTCCACAACAATTTGGGAAGTACCATAATGGGTTGTTGAAGTAACCGGTGGTCTCGAGGGAAGTCGACTTAAACTTTCAAGCGCTATACCTAGCGAAAGCATGACAATGATTGAAGCGATGAGCCATACCAGGGTCGGGGATCTACAAGCGCTGCATAAGGTGGTCCTATGAACCATTAGTTTTTTGCTGACAGGTCGCATCGCTTCACAAGGCTTTTCTGAAGCTTGAGAGTGCTTTGAGTAGGTACATATGCCCGTCAAACAACGAGGGGCACGCTTCCTTTGTTCCAACTCTCTTTTGGGCAGCAGAATATACGAGACCTCTCCATGAAAGAGCAGAGACACCCGAAACTACACAAACTGATGTTGGTCCTGACTCCTCGATTCTGAAGCCGTAAACCCCAATCCAAAACTCCTCACCTTAGTTTACACGGAAACCACCGTAGCAGTAGTAGTCGTCGTCGTAGTAGTCGTAGCAGTCGCAGTCGCAGTCGTAGTCGCAGTAGCAGTAGCAGTTGCAGTTGCAGTTGCAATCGCAGTCGCAGTCGGCGTCGCCGTAGCGGTAGCGGTAGCAGCAGTATAGCAGCAGCAGCAGCAGGAGTTGTAGTAGTAGTAGTAGTAGTAGTGGTGGTGGTGGTGGTGGTGGTGGTGGTGGTGGTAGTAGACGTAGACGTAGACGTAGACGTAGACGTAGACGTAGACGTAGACGTAGAGGTAAAGGCAGAGGTAGAAGCAGTATAGTTCTCGTAGTAGCCGTCGTTGTTGTCGTTGTTATCGTCGCGGTCGTCGTCGTCCTTCTGAATCGGAAAATCAGGATCTGAAGCGCCTATTTCCTAAACCCTTTTGGCTCCAAACCCTAAACCCTTTTGGCTCTAAGCCCTAAACTCGAAACCCTAAACCTTTTTGGGCTCTAAGCCCTTAACCCTAAACCCTTGTGGCTCTAAAGCCTCAGCCCTGGAGGCTTAGGTTGAACCCCCTAAACCCTAAACCCTAAACCGTGAAAGCTGAGGTTCGAAGTGCAGCAGTGCGAGCAGGCGCAGCCCCGGCACTTCAGGGCTTCATGGGTTTTCCCTGAATCCCAGTTTAGGCCTCCGAAGCCGCATGCGTTCATGGTTACCACTGTTAGATATCATTGCTGCTGTTACTGCTATCATCATTATGATGATGATGATGATTATGATTATGATTATAAAGAGTTATAATATTGTCGAGAATGCATCTCGCTGAGGCCTCGTTCATGGCCAGCTTAAAGATCGCCTTTTCCTGTGTGTCCGTAACGAGATCGTTCGTCCTGTCTGGCTGCACGGCTCGATCTGCATGGTATGAATTTGGGTAAGCGGAAGCTGTTTAGAGTCGCTGGTGGCAAGAAGCCGAAAACACCAACATCTCTAAGCTACATATACTAGGTAAAGCTCGGCGTGTTTCGATTGAGTCCCCGGGCATAGGCTGAGATGCTCTCGGACGCATCTTCAAAGGGCTCGCCGAGGCTAAGGCCCAACAAGCTGCAAAATCCACCCAAGCCGCTGGAAAGTGACCCTCGAAGCCCTGGATCCCTCGGAGCTGTCCCTGGAACAGGCCGGCTATCGAAGTAGTGGAGCACGTCGAAGGCGTAGTACAGGCCACTCCGGATGCAGCGGGAGCTGCTCTGCAGGCGGCAAGCAATGCTTCTAGCATGCCGACGAAAGCTGTTCTGCCGGTTCTGGTGCTGCAGTTGCTCCTGCTGTGCCGCTTCTTGTTGTTGCTGTTGCTATTCCCCCCCCCCCTCCATTTTTCCCTCGCACCGCTGCCGAGCTCACAGGAAGTTACGGGAAAGGCACTTGATCACCATAGTCGTAGTCACACATTGTAGCAGTAGGGTTGGCAGTGGTAGCAGTAGGAGCAGTTTAGCTGCCACTAGTGGCAGCAGCACTCGTCGTTGTACGAGGGGACATGTTAGTTCTGAGATTGGATATGGTTTCCACGACCCTCTTACGGTTCTCACAAAATGACAGTGCTCCTGTTGAGCTTCGCATGTGCTGCTACATATCATGATCGCCATACGTACTGCCTTGCCGGAGACCCAAACTGATAACAAAAAAGTGCTTCAGCCTCAGGAAGACTTGGTTACTGTATATAGTACTAGCATGGCCGCATGGCAGCTTTAAGATGGGTACAAGGCGGCGTCATGCCACATGTTCACTTTCCGCGGTCCTCAACCGTTCAAACACCGCAGACTGGTGTACTGAAACAGATTGCAACCACACCTGCCTCCAAGTCAGCCAGGGATTCGTGGGCCTCACTAACGGCGAAAGGCGCTTCAGTCTCCTGCAAACAGATCAAGATCGATCAGGGCTTGCGTGGTGCTCGTTTGCAAGCTATCCTCGAAGCAATGCTGATTGGAAAAAGCAATGGAGCAGAGGCCTTGTGGCTTGCGAACCGGAAAAGAGTGAACGGCAGGGGCATCATGTGCCAATCCCACACCACTTCCGCGGACACCTTCTTTGATAAACGCTGCCTCCTACAAAAGGTCATCAACATCGCGATGACTGTGAGGAGCATCACCAATATCGTCACCATCACCATCAACATCATCAGCGTCATCATCATAGGCGCAATCACTGCTATCATGGCTATCATGGGTGTGCCATGATCGTCAGTTCGATTGCACATGCACCGACCGCCATTGAAGCTACAACGCAGCACTCATGACACAACAAGGACACTTAGTATCATTTTGAAAACTACACTGAACCCAACTGACACGACCATGAAGAGAGATCATGACAAGACTCGTCAAATGACACAAGGAGGAAAACAGCGAGCCCAGGCCAGACTAACCTGGGTTAATGACAACTGACTACTATCTACTGTAACATGTAATAGTGTATAGGGCTTCGGGGTACAGATCTCCGCACTCTCAAGCGATGCTGGCCTGCAGATGCTGCGCCCAGGAATTGTAAAGTGTCCTCTGGCACTTGCAAGTGCACAGGAGAGAAGCGATGCTTTTGTCTGTGTGGATTGGCTCCGCTGAGTTCATGATCTTAGACGGTCGGGAATACTGTCTGAGCTGTAGCTCATAGGTTCATAAATGGCACAACAATGCTTCGGGCCATGTCACGTCTGCCGTCCTTTCAGAATGGCGGAACCTGACATGCCTCAACAATCCAGACGAACCTGCAGCTACGTGCCATTGATCTCTCCAGAGGCTCACAGTGCATTGCCTTGGGTGCAACTTCGGCGACATCTGGGGTCTTGCACCTCACCCTCCTTGCCCCTCTGCGACTGAAACTCGCTAAAACTTGCTAACCTTGAATTCCATCATCTAGCCGCCAGCCCCCATGATGCGCAGAACTATGGGCCTCTCCGCTTGCGAGGGAGGCAGACCAGGTATCAACCTCAGCTGCAGGGGATGGGCTTCAGAAGTCTGCGAAGGCGGCAGGCTGAGGTGTCTCAAGGGGAGAGAGCCAGAGAGCCCTGCCCCGAGGTCCAGGAAGAGCTATGTTCAGAACTAGACATGGTGCAGGGACAACTGCATGGAAAGTGGAAAGGACGACACAACAAATGGTGCATGATCCACCCTGTCTCTAGTTAATGAGTTAATGTTGAAGGGCTGGCCTGACAACAGCGGCAAACGACGAGCATGGAGACACATGGGTAGTTCGCTAAATTAGGGTCCCTTGTTAGGTCCCCAATCTAGTACGGCACCCTTATAAAAAGGACCCCCCCAAATAAACCCTAATTTGCAAACTACCCACATGAAATGTCGAAATAAACCTTAAACCCTAAACCCTAAACCCCAAATGTCGCAGAAAAAGCAGAGCGGCTCGACCAGAAAGTGGCTGTTCAGCAGCCGGTCGCTCTGACACATTACCTGCTGCGTTTCAGGGAGTCTTCAGGGTTTCAGGGTTTAGGGCTTCAGGGTTTCAGGGTTTAGGGTTTCAGGGTTTAGGGTTTTAGGGTTTAGGGTTATAGGGTTTAGGGTATAGGGTTTAGGGTTTCAGGGTTTAAGGTTCAGGGGTTTAGCGGTTTCGGGTTTAGGGGCTTCGGGCGCTGGATTGAAACCCTGTCCCTACCAAGGTAGTGTAACCCGGACCGCTCGACATGGCCGTGCTCGCCCGTTTAACATGCTTTCGAAGTGGAGCGAGAGAGAGAGAGAGAGAGAGAGAGAGAGGGGGAGGTAGAGATCAATCTCCCCGGAAGAAGACTTCGTTGAGAATATTGCATGATGCCTATAGTCTCCATTGTAGTTCCTTTCCGGGATACCTTATAGAATCCTTAGTATATACTTGGTTGAGCCAAAAAAAGGAACTACAATGGAGACTATAGGTGTAGTCATTCATCTTCGACATTGGCCGAGACCCTTATCCGATTGAAGAGATGCGACAGAATGATCCAAACTATAGTCATAGCAAAACCCGTGGCCGCCGTCGGAGGTCAGAGATATACAAAAGGGGAGTTCCTGATTTGGGGTTATGTAAGCCTGAGCTTTCTCTTCTATGATTCTATGGGACCCTTTTCTGTTCTTTGAACTTTCGGGGAAGCCACAGATTTGGCAGCAGCCGCAGCTCCTGTCGCTCTTATCCGCAACTCCCAGACGCCTTGCGATTCCAAACAGCCTCCTCTGCAAAAGCATTCCAAATCCTCAGCTGAGTGCAGAGCTTCAGTCAAAAAGGCAGGAGAAGATGCTCGAAGCTGCAGAGGTACGCATAGAAATCAGGGATTCAGGGCTATTTTGGGGTCCCAGATGCTCTCCTAAACCCGATACATCCTAAAGCCTACAGATCCTAAACCCTACACCCCCAAACCCTATAAACCTGAACCCTAAACCCGTAAACCCCCTATAAATCCTCTAACTTTGTTGGACCTGGAATTCCCGAGGTCCGTTTGACATGAGCCAAGGATCTCTTTCAGCTGCACGCGCTCCTGCTCGGGAACATTTTGAGGAGTTCAAGACCACTGAAGTCAACTGTAGAGGCGGCTGTGAGACTATAAGGCGGCTTTGGGTTTCAGGCTGAGTTGTGGTTGAGGGCTGAGTGGGCTTACGGATGATGATATAAATCCTGCATTACCCATAATAAGGAATGTACCATAATTCCCATAGTTTATTAAGGTAATGCAGGACTTATATCATCAACAGTATTCTGCCGGGTCCTCTCAAGTTGGAGCATAGTCTCTGTCGTTTAGGGGACGTGGGTCTTTAAGTCTGCATTCAAGTACGGTAGGGGCCTTAACAATTAGAATAGGTTTCTGGGGCCCATTATAATACTATAATTCTAACTAGGAACCCCCCAAAATAGTATATAGGTAACTATCCTAAACCCTAAACCCTATAAAGCCTGAACCCCTAGAAAGGCCCCTGCATTAGTGCCAGAACTCAAGGCATGCAAAGACCTGAGGCCTCAAACGGAGCGCCCCTGAAATGCCTTCTTATATCAAATAAGTTCCGAAGAAGGTTTAAGAGTTTAGGGTTTAGGGTCATAGGGCTTAGGGCTTAGGGTTTAGGGCTTAGGGTTTAGGGTTTAAAGTTTGGGGAAGATCGCAAGGACGAACTCCCGCAAGGGGGGGGGGGGGGGGGGGT